ACCTGAGGCCATTGCCTCTCATTCTATCACTTGTTACTTGGGAGAAGCGACCAACCCCACCTCACTACAACCTCCTTTCAGGCAGTTGTAGAGAGCAATAAGGTCCCCCCTGAGCCTTCTCCAGACTAAACATCCCCAAAATCCTTTGGTGCTGTTCTGGTCGTGAAGCTGGTCTGAGTGACATCAGGGAAGGTATTCCTGCCATTGGGAGAGAAAAGGCAGAAGGAATAGGATAGTTGTGGTGAGTCACTTACACTTGCAGGTTGGCAGCTCTGATGGAAGAGGCCTCTTCCACCCGCAAGAGGAAGAGAGGCCCATGTGGCTGCTGGAGCTGCAGGAAACATCATGGCCAGGCTCACGCTGAGCCCTAACAACAGCCTTTTGCTGGGCATTTCCCATCCTTGGCTAGTTTTGGAATCCTGGAGGAGGGAAAAAGCAGTTTCAGTTCCCCCATTTCCCCATGGGGACTGTGGACTGATCTGGGGTGCAGCGCTCGCTTTGCTGTGCAAATACCCACCTGGTGAGCCCAAGCACAAGCAGACACCCCTCTCCTGCACTACTCATCCTCCCTGCTTGCTCTTCACCCCTTCTCCCCGCTGGTGTGAGCCAGGACCCCCACATCTGTGGCACAGGAGCCTGCAGGGGACCATCAGGGGTTTGCAGCTGGACAAGGGACACAGGGACACCACCAGTGCTGGAGGAGGGCACAGGGGAGCTCCCTGCCCTGGGGTCTGGATCTCCTGGGGCAGGAGGGAATCTCTCGATCTCGGCAGTGTTTGCTCTGTCTGGACTCCAGGAGGCATCTGGGAGTCCTACATACATGGATCCTTCCCTTCACCGCTCCTTTGTCCCTCCCTCCAGCGGGAGGAACAATGCAGAGGATATGGGGAGGTGGTGGGATGAGTGGGGAGAGAGGATGACTCCTTGCCTTGCCCTTTGTGGACCATGGCTAGATAGTGGAGAAAGAGAGGCCTCCTGCAAGCCTGGCTGTGCTGGAAAGGAATCATAGAATGGGTTAGGTTGGAAAGGACCTTAAGATCCTCTAGTTCCAAACCCCCTGCCATGGGCAGGGAAGGGAAAGGAAAGGAAAGGCAGCTTTTAGTTGGGTGAGGCCAGTGGTGTTTTACAAGTCCCTCCTTCACGCAGGAGCTGTAGATTTGGGCATTTCGGGTCCAGGTCGCTGCTCGCAGCAGACAGGCAGACCTGCGGATGCTCTCCAAACCAAAGGATGCACCTCTGCCTACTCACACGTGCCTTCCCTGCTGGGCAACCACACGTGGAGCTGGTTCCCACTCCTGCAACAGGCCCTGTCCAGCCCCAGCACTGCTCTCAGGCTACATGGCAGCCACCAAGGCACCCAGAGCAGCCTCCCCACGCCTTAACCCAGCAGCTTCCGCACCCCAGCTCCACATCCCAGCGTCTCCAGCGCACCCGCTGCTCGCAGTGACGTGGAAGTTCATGTGCTGAGAGGCAGCAAAGCCGATGCACCTCAGGTCTGCATCGCTGCATCTCCATCACCACTGCTACCCAGCCTCGCTTGGCGCCACAGCCGTGTCTCCTGGCCACCAGTGGACAGCCCTTAAGGTCTAAGGGGCTGTGGCACTGTGGGATTTGGGCTGATGTGGAACAGTGTTACTAAAGTTGTCTTAACACGCTCGGATTCCAAACCTCCACGGGGCTTTTCTCTCCTCTGCTGCGTGTCTGAGCGGGCAATGGGAAGTGCGCCTCAAGCACTGAGCAATCATCACAGAACAAGCAACATCCTGCTACAAACTTAAGTATTGTTTGAGGTTATTCTTATCCGGGCACGATTTATGGCCCCTGAGCTTTGCTTTATCCTTGGAAACAAATGGCTTCAACAAAATAAAAGTTACTTTTCCAAAGAGGGGCTGCTATCACATTTCTGTCACCGTTGCAAACAAGATAATGCAACCTGGGGTGTCCTGGCTAATCAGGAAAGCAGCAGCAGCAGCACAGTTGTTCTTTGTTACAGCTTGACATCTGATATTAACGGCCCTTTTGTGCTTCTAAAACACCTTTCCTCTCGGAGCGCTGTGAAGAATCAATTCATTAAGCTACAGAATATGTAGGTAAAAGCTGAGGGGTTGCAGACAGCGAATGCAGCTTCTGTGTGTGCCAGAAGAGGTGGGGAGAGGGGATGTTTTGCTCTTGTGAGGTGCACCCGGGGTGCAGGTATCTCTTTCTGGGAGGATGAACCCCTCCAGCGGAGTCTGTGTCCCTCTGAGGTCTGCAGGAGCTGGTGGGGCACTGGCACAGGCTGCCCAGAGGAGCTGTGGCTGTCCCATCCTTGGAAGTGATCGAGGTCATGTTGGATGTGGCTTGGAACAACCCGGCCTAGTGGAAGGTGTCTGTGCCTCATCACCAGACACTTTGGCACTGGGCTCTCTGTGCACCTCGAGGTGACCCTTACCTGCTGCATTCACCCTTGGGCTGGGCACCAGTAACAGCGACCCCGGCAGCACGGCCCCTTGGCCACAGCCCTGTGCTCAGGTCCTCCGGGCCACCCCTCAGCTTCGGAGCTTCTCACCTCCATCAGCAGCTCCGTGCCTCCTCCCAGCCAGGGAGCTGCTCCAGCAGGGCAGGGACCTGAGCCATGCTTGTCCATAGGTTCTCTCTCCAGCTTAGTCAGTGCCAGTAAATGGAAAAGGTCTTGGAAAGTAAACAGCAGCGTGACTTGGCTGGGCAGGAAGGATTGCCTGGGAGCAGGGAGCGTGAGGTGTGCCCGGGGTGTTAGCGAGGCTGTGATCCGGGGGTTCGGCGTGCGAGGGTTTCATGCACAGCCTCCCATGGACCTCCTTCGATCTGGGGATGGATCTCACACTGGGTAACATCTGCCATTGATTTCCATGGAGCTGGTGTTTCCAGCCAAGCAGGACGGCTGCAGACTCCCCAGCGGTGCTAGTGTTACAGCTGGCTGGAAAACGTCCAAGGAAATCCATCCTGTCGGAACAGGGTGATTTATCAAACAGGGCTCTTTCTGTGGCAATCTGCCATTTTCAGTGGAAAAGGTTTTCCAGGTCCAGGCAGGAACGAGGTGAGAATCACCCAAGAGCAGCCCCGGGTCTGGATTAGAGGTTTGGATACGGACATTCAGCACCCTCTCCTGCCTGAAGCCGGTCTGGCATGTGGATGTGGCTGTATCCACCTCAGAGGAGCGCCCTCAGCCATGGCCCACGCTAGCATGTGCCTCATTTTCTCCCATTTGTAAGGGCGAAAAAACCCTGTTTCTTTCCCCAAAATACTGAATCTGTGACCGTTTTCCTGGCAGGCAGAAAGCCGTTTTGCACTGAGCCAGCAGCAAAGCTGTTGAAAAGCCACTAAGCTGAAGCAGTGGCTTCAAGTTTCTCCGCAGTATCATCTGCACTAATAACTTGATGTTTTAAACCAATTTAACATGGAGGAGAACGGGCGTTTGGAGCCGATGTCACTGTGTGTTTCGTGCTGTGGTACTGAGGGTTCTGCCAGGCCTCCCGGTGTCTGCTGGAAGGAGACGGTTAAGGACCAAAGCCAGGAGCCGCAGCAGGCGCGCAGGATGATGCTGGTGGGCAGGGGAGGAACAGTGGGAGCTCATCACTGG